TTTGATTTACTTCCATGCATATCATCTTTATTCAATACATCTTACAGTGAACTTGGGCATGAACTTGAACAGGGACTTGGAGGACTTGGCCAAGTACCTGGTACTTGGCCAAGTCGACCCACCCGACTTGGCCAAGTCCATTGGACTTGGGGTACTTGAGGTACTTGGGATACTTGAGGTACTTGGCCAAGTACCCCAAGTACCTGTACAAGTCCGTGACGTTTTCCTGATGTGCTCTATTGCTATCATACTGAGGTCCCGCCCTTTAGCTTGACTCGTGCCATAGCTTCCGGAGTGCCCGAGCACTGTCTTCTGCTACGAGTTTGTCCCAAGGCGGCTCCTCAGCTGTGGGGACAGTTGTCCCTTCCTGGCACAGTCCCGACTATCGCGACTTCTAGCGCTCGTACACCAACGAGTCTTCAGCACGAGATTGAGGCGCCCTGTGAGCAGGATCAGACGAGTACGAGCCTGCTAGTGAAAGCGATGACTGTCTTCCAGCCTGATAGTGGCAACATCGCAGAGAAACTTCCCGGGACTCTTCACCCGAAGCCGAGCGGCGGTCGGCACCGAAACCGCCCATAGTCAATGTTGAGACATCTCCTAAATTGACTCCGCTACGACGTTCTCTCATTGATCTGTGGGCGGGTAGTCGAGCAGCAACAGTCCCATGTCTATCTTTTCGCTTCAGACATAATCTATGTGATCTCCGGTTGCCTTTCGCTGCGCACGATGCCACCGGAGCGGACTAGACGCAGAAGCGTCAGGGCGAAAGGATTTGGGAGAACGTCCACGCGCATCAGGCCCAAGGGTGGCTGTTTTTCCTATAGAACTAGTCTCAGCACACGGGACCGGGGGTTCAACAGCAGCTCTAGCGTCAGTCGCGAGAGCTGCGCGACCCTCACGCTTGACGGAGATCGGTCACGGTGGGCGGCGTGCCCACGAGGCTAGCAAGCGCAGTTGCCCGATGATCGAGCTTCGCATTGACGATTGCCTCCGTATCTACTCTGAGAGACACTCTAAGCGTAAAAATAGTACATTTTCTATCACTGCTTAAATACGCTTGTTCGATTGCACCTCAACCATCATGTGTGTGTGATCGCTCAATATGCAAACGCGTGTGATGGAAAGATCTTCAATGCTGAAACTAACGCTTCGGTAGTGTCTCTTGATTTCCTGTAGCGACGGTCGTGGTGGGTGACGTGAGAGAAGTAAGCTAGTTTGAGTACATGGGAGACTAACCTCGATATACGTTTGGAATCCATTTGCAATTTGCAAAGTCAATCCCCCCGACCCGTTGATGGCAATATGTATCTTGAACTTGTGATTGTTGGTAAGTGGGCAGCTTTGGAACTGAATATCGATAGCAATACATCATCAGAGTGCACGGGATGAACTGCTGTGGAACGAAAGAGAACAATACTCACGTCAATGAGGAGCTTACATCTCTGAATCCCGAGTTTCAAGATCTCGTCCTTCACGTTACGTTCTGCTTGGTATGATGGATGATTTTGAGGCGACGACAAAACTTCGGAAAGTGACACAGCTGAGCCGTCGGGATTAAGCAGATTAAAGGGAACACGATCTGTTGATATGTTTTGTGCCACTTGAAACATATTGTCCGTCTTCGCGCGAAGGGTCTATGGGCAGGGTGTATTATCGTGAAGGAGGAGGGTTGTCTGCTGCGTATGCAGTGGAAGAGTTCTTGTTATACTCCTGAGGAGCTACTCCAGTAGTATTTATACTTCCAAGTACTAGCGGACCCAAGCGGGATCCGGGTGAAACGAGCGGCCCCAGCGTTCTGGCCTGAGCCTTCCGGCAAGTGCACGGTTGCTTCAAATGAAAAGACCAGCACGCCCGAAAGTGACGGGCGCACAAAGCAAAATACAGCATTGAATGTAATGGAATCTAGCTAGATCTGCGAGAATGTGGCGTGCCTGTTATGTTGCTGTATGTCTACTACGATGAGACAGTGTGCATGCGGCAGTGTATGCGTATTCCCTCTTGAGGCCCTGTTACTTGCGCAGATGATACATCTCGAAGAATGTTGGTTTTATTGTGATCTGAAGCAGATGATGAGGAGTGGGCTGTGCCCCCTATAGGGTGCAGTAAGCCGAAATTCATGTTGCCCTTACATAGTAGCTTGATGTGGTGTCCCGTGTGGAACGCACGGCTCATAGCCATTAAAACAAGCTACATCAGCAAAATGTCATGGTCTTGAATGTGGTCTTGGGGTACTTGGCCAAGTACTCCAAGACCACCAAGTACTCCAAGTACATCAAGACCAATGGACTTGGTCAAGACCGTTGGTCTTGGCCAAGCCGGGTGGGTGGTCTTGGCCAAGACCATTGGTCTTGACCAAGACCACCAAGACCATTCCAAGACCAGAATCAAGACCAGAGCCAAGTACATGCTAGAAGCTCATGCTATAAAAGACTATAGCTCAGTTTTTAGTTGGATCATATCAGACATAGTTAGTCTCTAGCATGGGTGATGTACAGCAATACAATGATTAGCGGATATGCGAAGGAAAAAAAAGACACCAGCTAGGATTGAACCAGCAACCTCTAGCACTACCACATTTAACCACCATTTAGACCACTGCACCATATTGAGTTGTAGATAAATATGTGCACCATAAATATATGGTGCATTTTGTTGGACTTGGAAAGAATTGTCACTACTCAGTACTGCAACAATGCAGTTTCAAGGCTAGTAGTGTTACCTGCTATGAAGTTAAGGGCCACTAGACTTCTATTGATCACTACTGTACCCTGCAATAGCATATGTAGGGTTGTCATTCTAATATTGTAGTGCTATAATGGAAGTAACATGGTCTTTAAGCATTAAACACTATAGTAGGTCTCATGACCATTCTTATCTTGAACATATACACAATTATGCAGTTTATAAGATCATTACTAGACCATATCCTTATATGATCTAGATACTCTTATATTGATTTAGACAAGTTGACCCTTAACTCTAAGTTGCTTAAGCACTGAAAGACAATAGTCTTCACTCTAAGACCGCGGTCTTAGAGCCAAGTCCATGGTCTTGGCTCCAAGTTCACGGTCTTAGAGCCAAGTCTGTGGTCTTGGCTCCAAGTTCATGGTCTTAGCTCCAAGTTCACGGTCTTGGCTCCAAGTTCACGGTCTTGGCTCCAAGTTCATGGTCTTGACCTCAAGACCACCAAGACTGCAGACTTGAGGCTAAGACCATGGTCTTGGCTCTAAGCCGTGGTCTTGGCTCTAAGACCGTGGTCTTGGCTCTAGACCGTGGTC